AACATTTGATTTAAGCAGGGATAATATGAAATTTCGCAAATAATTAATGATTCACATAATCGTTGTTTTGTTTAAAACTGAGAAAGTGCCTGTTGGTATATAACAATTTCAACCTAAAATAACATGTTTTGATGACGCAGTTGACATGCGTGCGAAAACTTAGTCATTCGTCTATGATTAGGCCTAAATTTTTGCATACATTATTGAATTTGAAACATGTGCTGCCTATTTCCAGGTCCACGCTTGCTTTTAGATATCCCCGCTTTTCTTTCTTAAAATAAGTAAAACATTCGGTATTTGAGAATCTCATGTTATTAATTGGAGAATAGTTATTTGGCAACGAAATTTGACGAAATCGAACGTATATATTGAGAACAAGAGAGGCTCTAGCACTGAACCATGTGGCCTCCTGGACGAACATTCTATAAATTTGAAATACTTGCGCCCAGAACCACCTGTTGCTGTCTGTCTTTAAAGTATGACGCTAGGAAACGTAGTACCGGTTTATCAAATCCTAGATAAATACACTTAGCTAGGGAGTAGACCATGGTTTAAGGCGGCTCCGACGCAGTGAGTTTCAAGCCATTCACAAGGGTTCAGCTGCTTCGAAACTGACACTGCATTTTTCAATATTTTTGAATAAAATTCATACATTATTTCTAAAATGAGATGTTATGTATTTTAAGTCGTATGACATCTACATCACGAAAAACTATATCACTCAAAAGAAAAAGTAACAATTGCTGAAACTCCGTTTTTGACATTACAGGGGTTCCTTATCATTGTCAGAAAAAGATTGTACTGCTTAAAAAGCGGTAGTTGGGGGAAGGTGATTCTAAACGTTCATCTATGATATCACTGAAATACGTTCTATTATTAAGAAGCTTCTGCTCCCAGTGATTACAGGAAATTTAAGTAATGAAAATCCGACGAATAATGTGCTCACGATTTGAAAAAATCGGTACCTGCTCTATAGATTTGACACCAAGAGCCAACAGATCTATCTGCAACTGCCGACAGTAGGGAAGAATGAATTCGGATAGCAATCCAGTCAATTATAGGGGAATTTAGCGTGGAACTTCAAAATTATAGATATGTCAAGGAAATATGTTTTTGAGAAAGATAATTTGGTAGATTTTATACCTGAATTTCCATTTGAATTTCATGACCCGTGAAATGTACCGCCGTTACCTTCAATTTATGTTCTGCAGTTTGTGATGTTTTTCTGGATATAAGCAGGACACAATTGCCTAGGGTGCTATCAGAGCTTTTTACAATTTTGTCTTTGCGCAAGAATTATGGTGGGCTGAAATGCTTACTATTTGTGCTCAACTTCTTGATATTTTAAAAAGATCCTAGTGGATAAAATCGAAAAAGTGGATCGTTAGCACCCTGTGGACTTTGTTTTTGGCACGCTGCAAGAGTTTCATTTGGAAATAATAAAAAATGAGACGTAAGCCGTGAAGTGCAAATCGGTTTTTGGGCGAAATTCGTCTACTGTTTCGTCCTGCCAGTCCAAGCGACGCGACGCGACGGTGCGTTCCGACTACGAAAAAATGTATTAAAATAATTTGATATCTTTCCTAAAATAAACTCAAGAACTCAAATTCAAATTCGTTTATTCATGTCAATAAACACAATTATGTTTACAGGAAAAAGAAACAGTTAGGTAGTTTTAGCAAAGAAATAAACAGGTAGGCTCATACCAGGATTAAGTACATTTCTTGTCTACTGTAATAGGTAGATGGAGGCGATGCTGCCAGAAATGGATGTGTGCGATTAATAAACAAACCACAAGATTCTACTGCGGTGTCCAATGATTTTTGTATCGCCTTTTTTATTGCCTTACAAGAAAACTCTGTTGGGTATATGATGGAGTTTACTAGAAGTTTACAGCTTGTTGTCTGCCTTCTACAAACTTCACCAAATCGAGACACTGTCAACGTTATCCTCAGATGAAGGCGCGACAAAGTACAGTCCTGTAATTTGGTGACTTGTTCGATCTGCAAAATCACGTCGTCACTTTTTTTAAGTTTCCCTAAAAATTTTCGCTTAGCAACCTCCAAATCAATGTAGTTAATACCAGGTATTTGACTGAATTTCCCATAAAACTATTCATTTTCTTTGGAGTTGCTGTCCGAATTGTTAGTTATTTTTATATCAGCTTTTTTGGTCTGAGTTTCTTTTCAAGATTCATGCGTGTGAGTCTTTGTTCCATCTTAGCGATAAGTGAAGTTGGACTAAGCTTGGAACGCAAATGTATTTAGACCACATAGACAGGCCGCTGGGTATTGTGGTTCATTACAGCTGCAGCACATCTTCCATGGTATGACCTCTTCTTGCAATAATTTATTTGCTTACCCCAATGTATTTTGCGATTATAGAGTTGAACTGCTCCACAGTATTGTTGATCTCATCATGAATTAAATTCACTGCATTCATAATTAAAGTGGTCGCATAAGACCCTTTATTGTCCATTATCAGCCTTGATAAAAAGGCACTCAAGAATAATAAGGGGAGAAAAATACTAAATGGTCACTTGCTGAGTACCAAAATAAGAAACGATTTACATTCTAGATCGCTAATCGAAATCCAACTCTGTTATTATAAAAATGTACCTTGGTATGCACCCGCAGTCATCCTTTCCTCTTTTAAAGTAGCGCCGACGACAGTCTAGGGCCAGCCCACCCTCGTTCGCAGTGATCGCTAACCCGCCGATCGCGAGCTACCTGTAGCTCGCAAAGGCAATTCTGGTAGCTCACAGCATATTTTAAAAAAAATGTAAAAATCACAGAAACTTCCGTAAATTTTGTAAATTCTCATAATAAACACAGGCAGCGGTAACACTGCGGTGAGCGATCTGTTCGAGAACGATCTCGATTACTTTGAACGGAATAAATACGCAAGGCGCGGCGAAGGTGGCCTCGGTTTAAAATTGAAACGGACAAATTCCGGCGGTTGGGTTAGAGTTGGCCTGCAATTAAAAACATTATGAGCAGTAGTAGGAAGATGAAGACGTACCATTTTCATTCGGAATGGAAAGAACAATATTTCTTTATAGAACGTAAAGGTAAAAATGTATGTCTGTTTTGAAATACATCTGTTTCCGTTGCTAAAAAAGGGAATATCTTGAAGCACTATAAAAGTGTACATTCGAATTTTGAAAAATCATTTGCATTATGTTCTTTAACCAGAACGGAAAAACTGAAACGATTAAAAAATCAGTTAATTGGACAACAGACAATGTTTTTAAAAACAATCGACAAAAGTAAGGCTGCAACTGAAGCATCATCCCAGATAATTACACAAAAGAAGAAACCTTGTGAAGACAGGGAAATGATAAAACATACATTTTCAGAAGCTGCAGATTCATTATTTGCCGATTTTAGAAATAAGGACAAGATAGTGTCTGCTATAAAATTTATGCAACTTTCTGCTAATGCAGTGATGAGACGAGTAGAAGTAATGTGCAATGATATAGTTTTACAGTTAAGAAATGACTTCGATAACTGTACTTATTGTTCACTGCAGCTGGATTAATCCACAGATGTCAGAAGTCCGTGTTCGTCAGGATGGTTTTTAGTGATTTTACGATTAAGGAAGGTCTTTTGAAGTTTATTCTACTAAAAGGACAGACTACTGGGAAGAACTTGATTTCTTCTTTTAAAAATATTATTTCTTCTGAGGAAATTCCAATATTGAAAATGGTAGGCTGGACAACCAATGGCGCTCCAGCTATGGTGGGTCGTGATAAGGGTCTCGTGAGGTTATCTCGTAAAGATGAAAGTTTTCCGCAGTTTCTCTGTTACCACTGCATTATCCACCAGCAGTATTATGTGGACATTTTCTAAATCTAAACAAAGTTATGAAATTGCTAGTAAAAGTTGTGAACCAGATTAGAGCTCAAGCGTTACAAAGATGATTATTCAACACATTGGCCGATGAAATTGACTGTCGATACGGCGAACGACTTCTTCACTCTAAGTAGGGGACGAGTGCTGAAACGTTTTAATGATATATCTACCATAGTTCAATTTTTCAATCCACGTGATGAACCCATTGCGGAATTGGAAAATCCAATCTGGCTTAGACATTTTGGTTTTCTTTTGGATATTACAGAAAAATTAAATGAACTTAATTTGCAGCTTCAGGGGAGATACTAAGAACTATCAGAAATGATTTCTGATATAAAAGCGTTTATCAAAAAGCTTTAGTTTTGGGAAAAAAAACTTAATCGATCGCGATACCAGGCATTTTAGTATTCTTTCAAAAAAGATATCTCAAAGTCCATTAGGACCATATGACAGTAAATATCATGTAAAAATAGTCTCTGTCTTGAAGGAAAACGTTAAAAATGATTTCAAGGATATTAACGAAATTGGGGCAATTTGTTGTTTCACCCTTCATGAAAATTGATATCCAACAGTTTGCAACTTCCGTTACGCAGGATTTTAGCGAAGACATCGCCGCGACTCAAAAGGAAGTGATTGCGATTTAAAATGATTTAGCTTTAAAATCATTAGTCTCAAATACAAAATGTGTTCTGGGCTTCAGTAAAAAAAGATATTATTCAGTTTTATGCCGTGTTGCCTTGAAAGTGAGAGCGTTATTTAGTTCAACCAACATATTTGTGTGAATCTTACTTTTCAAATATGAAGTTTATTGAAAACAAATACCGTAATCGACATTTGGATAATTGTATTCGAATGGCGGTATCAAATTATACTCCAAACACTAAAAAGAATTGTCAGGGAGTCTGAGTGTCAGGCTTCTCATTGAACACGCGTTTTTCATCTGGACAAGGTTTTGTTTAAAATAGTGCGTTGCTTTTTTAGTTTTAGTTACCTTTATTAAATGGTTTGTGGCATGCCATTATAGCTAACGAAGGATTTTGTTTATTTTTCAAACACCTACGATTAGTAGGAATGGATGTACCTAGTTACGTAGTATGTATTAGTTATTAGTTTATTTTTTCCAGGTTGTTATCATAAGTGCGGATTATGTCACCAGTGCAGAAATACAATTTGCATTATTATCACCTCCTAATAGATGGTTATCTCGACTGTGAATTAAGTATAACATCATCAAATCGGATTCTATTTTTGGTAAAGGACATCCGACGGCGAGCGGAAGTCTGCCCCTGGTTAGCAACAGGTGTGCGATGTAGAGCCACCAAACCAATCCACACCTCCATCTATCCTCGTTTACCACCAGACAGGACAAGGCTCAAGATCAGGCCGACACGAACGCAACAGACTGACAAACGACGGAGCCGGAATCCATCTCATCCGGCCGACGAGCACGGCGCGGCGTTCCCTCTCGATGGTAATTTTACATTTTTAAAACATATAATTTAGACGTAGTTATCTTAATAACAAGGATGAAAGTTAGCTATGAGAAATTCGTTTAATGTCTATAGTCCAGTGTTACTAGAACAATGCCAATAAACAATGCATATTGTATAAATCTCCTTGCAGAATATTTTCATAAACGCTTATAAACCAAAAAAGGACGCACCGTGGATCTTTAATTTGTTTTACTCGGTCTCCCAAAGTGTTTCTCCTATAGTTGTTTAAACGCTTTTAAAAGCATTATAAGACGTAACATGGAACAATTATAAAACAGCTTTATTGAAAACAGTTATAGAGCTAGAATAAAAATATTTTATTATTTTAGATGCAGCTTTTTTGTTTTGACTAACACTAAAAGTTTGCTTTTGTTGTGAAAGATCACCTACTGAGAACAATTTGTTTTTTATTATCCTTGATTTAACAAAGAGAAGCATTAGATATTTTTTGGCACATTACATATGTTTTAGTAACTACATTAGTTCTAATATACTCGTATAATATATATAACTTCATCGGGAGCATTATTTAAAAAATCACTAATTTGTTTACTCGTAAAAATCGTAACTTTCTTGAGCTTGTTTCAGAAATGTAATTAGTTTGAAATATTTTGAAATGTTTACATTATTATTGGATCGTAACATACTTCTAATCATTGAATAATTCGACCACACTGTCGATGGCTTTGTTGTTGTGCCAATTCCGAAAAATAAGCCAATAAAACCGACTCCTACAAAGAACTGCATGTTTTTTTCATCTTCCAGTCTGCGAATCTTGAATACGCGGCTCCGTAAATTTTCCACGATTTAACCGGCCACAATTTTTGTGACGCTAACTTTGGCTACTTCTACTAATTCCGATGGAGTAAAAGAAAACTCGGAATCAGACATTTTTTACTTCATAGTATTAAAAATAACTTCTAAACAACCACTAAGTTCACAATTTTTAAATCAAATCACAAAATTAAATTGACAGCTATTTGATTACTTTAAAAGTTTCCTTAGCAGCGGAGGTCTAATTGTCGCTATAAGTACAACATAGCCTACTAATTTCAAAATTCAAATTTCACATCGTTAATTTTCTGACTTAAATATTGTAATAATATAATTTCTCAATATTGAATCGTCGTTTTTTCTGTCACAGAAATGTGTATTACACACCGGAAAATACTAGATTTTAGCTTGAGGTTATATTGTCTCCCGCGAAAATCTAGTACTTTTTTCCCTTGTATAATAAATAGCTATAGTACCCTAGGCAGCAGCGGTGGCCGCAGTAGTAGACTCTTCGGTCTCCTCATCAGTAGCCGTGCGCTGTGCGGGTTTGAATCCCGTCCCAGGACAAATTATTCTCTTGGCTATGGATATTGTGATTGTCCGTAGGTGGTAGACGGTCTCTGACTGTCGAACGTGGAGGTACCACCCGGCGGATCTCGTAGGAGCAGCCAGAACGTGTGCATGTTGCAACCTTGCAAGTGTGGACCCAAAGAACTTCTCGCCGAGACTTTTGCTGAGATTCATGCCGAGCGGCTTAAAGATCTTGGCAATATCTGTAGGCTTAATTTCACTGGACTACCAACAAGATTAGATTACAACACAGTTTTTACTTTTGATATTTATGTTACTACCTCGTCAAGACGTTTTTTGTACAAGTGCGTAGATTCGCAGACGAGATTAGGGATCTGAACAAAAGAAAAACATTTGATGGTGCATCATCATAATTATAACTTTCGCTTGTGATTCAGTTGTTTGTTGGTATACGACTTAATTAGAGTAGCAAATGGATACCGAGCAGAGTCAAATCGTGATGTCGCTTATTATTGACGTAGTCTAAGGAAGAGATTGATGTTACCTCGACGGAAATACAGGCCCCTAAGGAACGATTTTACTATTGACCTTCAAGAATCAAAATTTGGGCTTTTGGTACAAATTGGACCAAACTGAAGGCGTGTTCAAAGTAATGGATCTAATGAATTTTGTAGTAAATTTTTACTGCACGCCACTGGAGGCAACAATTTAATGAGTGCTTCAGTCTTTTCTAGGGAGCAAGGAATTAAAATGTATGCAATAGTAAAGGGTTGTCCAATAGGGACGCAGGAAAGTGAACGTCAATTTGACATAGACGCCATCTTTGTTTTCTGTCACCGACATGTCATTTTGTTAGTTGAATGTTTACCATTGATCGCTATGGAGTCGTATTCGATTGAAGACCGCATTAAAGTTATTCAAGAGCACTACAAAAATGGTGCAAAAATAAAAAACACGTTTCGCGCGCTTCGTGGACATTTCGGTCGCAACAACCGCCCAAACGAAACAACCATCGTTCGTCTGGTGCGTAAATTCGAGGCAACAGGTTCTGTGGCAAATCTGCCAGGCTCTGGCCGGCCAAGGGCGTTCGTACACCGGAAAATATTGCTGTTGTGAAGGAGAGTGTGAGAGACGATCCGAAACAATCAACAACGCGTCGATCCCAAGAATTGGGCATTTCGAGAACCAGTTTGCTCCGCATTCTTCACAAGGATTTGAATGTACACGCCTACAAGATCCAATTGACGCAAGAGCTGCGTCGGGCCGACCATTTTTCGCGCCGAACGTTCTCAGATTGGCTCCTTGAACACCGCCAAATTGATGCCAATTTTTCATCAAAAATCATGATCAGCGACGAAGCGCATTTCACTTTGAATGGGACGGTAAACAAGCAAAACTGCCGCATCTGGGCGAACGAAAATCCCCGTGAGTATCAAGAGCAGCCGATGCATCCTCAAAAAGTGACTGTGTGGTGTGTATTGTGGTCAAAAGGCATCGTCGGACCTTACTTTTTCGAAAATGCGGCCGGGGACGCCGTTACCGTCAATTCTGAGCGATATCACGTGATGATAGAGGACTATTTTTTGCCGCAACTTGAAGGAATGGATATGGACGATGTTTATTTCCAACAAGACGGTGCAACATGCCACACAACCAACGTCAATATCCATCGATTGCAGTCCTTCTTCGGTGATCGCGTGATTTCGCGCAGAGGAAATGTGCCATGGCCACCAAGATCGTGCGATTTGACTCCCTTGGACTTCTTTTTATGGGGATATTTGAAAAGCAAAGTCTACGTCAACAAACCAGCCACCCTTCAAGAACTCAAAAACAACATCATTGCCGAGATAAATGCCATAGAACCGACCATGTTGCAAAATGTCTTTGAAAATTTCGACCATCGCGTGGACGTCTGTAAATCCAGTCGTGGTGAACATTTGAGCAATATTATTTTTCATACATAACATAAATGGTATAAATGAACCTTCAAAATAAAGTACCCAACTTGATATAAATATCAATCTTTCTTGTTTTAATATGCGTTTACTTTCCTGCGTTCGTTTTGGACAACCCCATATGAGTTCGATACTTTTAGTTATAGCCAACCTTCGAGAAATTTGAGAAAATATTTTTTTCAGGATAGTCCAAAGAACTAAAAGATACATAGAAAACTTTCCAAGACCAAAGATAGATATCCTGACATAGCCCCAAACTTTGCTAAAAAACTGACTTTGTTTGCTCACCCAGTATAAGTGGACTAATGAAATAAATATACCGATCAAACCCTAAACGTGTTCTCAAAGAGTAGGTCAAGAACCTTCCGAATATGGCAAATTGATATCTCTTATCGTTCCGAAATTATCGAGATTTGAATTTGGGTTAAATTTTCCATGTTGTAGAGCATTTTATTGAAAATAACAGTGACTAACTCTAGCTGTACCAAATTCTGCCTATAATTTCTTTGAATGAATTTTTTGTGTTGTATATGAAACAGCGAAGTAAAAGATCTACAACCTGAACTGAGTTTACTTTTTTAAACATAGGGAGTATAACAAAATAATAAAAACAAAGCGATTGAAACTCAATTTGCATGACGCAATGCGAGGCTGCAAAGTCAATCGAAAAAACAAGCAGTGATTTCTCCAGATTCGCTTTCGATATGCGTAAATTCCAATATAATTATCACTTTCACTTGTTATTGTTGCTCTCGATTGTTACAGCAACATCAGCTTCAATGGCTCAGTAGATGCGAACGCGCACATTAGAATAAACATGAGGCGCGTTTGTTGTTCGATAATTTGAAAGTAAAATGACGATAATCGATTGTTAGTAGCGCATAAAAGGCACTTCTTATGGTGAATAAGAGGACACTCGGAATTGTTTATAATACGTAATGATGCAAAAAGCAACTTAACAATGACGGCTGGCTGAATGAATGTGATTGTGAGGCTTCTAGAGTAGGAGGAATATATCCATATATTGACATCAGTGGCTCAGCATGATTTCTGCAAGAGACGAAGTGAAAGTAGAGACAGTGTGCATGTGTTAGGAATGCTCGAAAAAATGGAGTCAAGTGGATCGCTTCAAACATCCCATGCAGTTCGCTAGAAAATAACGGGTGATTTTTTAAGGTATAGGATTTGATTTTCAAAAAAAACACAAAAAATTTGAAAATACGATAAAATCTGCATGAATTTTGATAGTAAAATTCAATAATTTGCAAGCGTTGTTCGTTCGTAAGTCGATTCATGGTTAAATTATAGACCAAACTGAACAAGTTTGACAATGACACAAGACACGATTCACGCGTCATCTGTCAAAAACAGTGTTGCCAAAAAGACACTAGCAAAAAAATCACCCAGTATTTGCATTTGGCTATCAAAAGTTCATATGAAATTCCTTGGAGAAATTTAAAAGAACTAATGACGTACCTTGTTTATGGTCCCAGGCTGTAACAATTTAGTCCAATAATACTCCAGCGGCATTATAGCATGTTCTGAAACCACAATGTTTATCCGGTAATATACTAGTTTTTTAAACAAAATCATTGATTTGGATAAAACTTTGAAGAAAAGGAAAGTACAAAGTGGAGGATCCATCAACCATCATGCCATACTTTTCGCAAAAAAAAATCTTCCAAACTGTCATACTAAGAACACTCATCTAGTATCTG